TCTGTCACGTTTGATTGTTGTAATTAAACTTTGTAGGTGGGGAAGGTCAGTGTCATGTTGTGAGGGTGGAGATGGTGGATCAAGTGTGGTGGAGGGTCCCAGGAGGCAGAAGAGCAGGCACGGATGAAATAAAAATGGATTTAACAACAACGGGAGCGACAGGACAAAACGAGACATGCACATAGAATCAACAATGATCCGACACAGGACATATGAGAAGGGAGGTATAAATACACTGGGGAAAATCAGGAACACATGGGCATGTTAACAAGAGCAGGTGAAACCAATACACAACTAATCAGGGCAGGAGAGAGACAGTCAGGAGGGCAGGGGTAGATCGTGACAGTCAGAAAAGGATCCGATCATTTTGTTTATCCCTCATTTACAGTGACGGAGATAACGGCGCAGTGCGCCTGGCTCTGGTGTTAATCAAGTTTAATTTTACCTATTTTCACAAGAAAACAGAACAGTTAAAAGCAGGGCTTGTGTTGACCGGACAGTTCTCGTATTTGACCATTTATTTTGACGGAGAAAGAATAGAAAGAATTACCCCGACGCATGCAGACAAACTGACATGTTATTCTACGCACATCACAGATGTAGCTAAATCGCTCAAGAAAAGATTCCCATCTGAACATCTGAGCTGGACACTGCTCAGCGCAGCTCGCTGTCAGAGTGCACTACATAAGGTAGAGCTGAAGACGTGGAGAGGGACTTGGAGCGCGTCGCAGAACCAGAGCGCATGCAGGAAGATTCCTCCGACTGAATTCAGTCGGAGGAATCTTCCCGCTGATCTGAATCTGATGCGGTTCTCTGTGCTTGTAAAATAATGAATGGATATTTAAATAAAATGCTTTATATTTTACTGAATTAATTTTATATCTGTAAGTCAATTCTATGTAAAGACTGTCTGCGTGAACCTGAACAGGCCCAACCCGGTCTTACTGTGAGACCGGGTTGATGGGTCACGCTTGGGCGGAAGCATATGCGCTTTCTGAGCTGAAGAGGGTGTGAGATTCTGGGATTCTCCTCAGACGGCTCCTGGATGTGTCGCCACATTGGAGACAGGAACAAGCACTATTCAGCCAAAGTTTCATAATCAGGGAACATTTTCTAAGTGACAAGTCTCTGAGAGACAGGGTTTAGAAAACACTCGCTTCAGTGGGAGGAACCTTCCCGCATGTGCTCTGGTTCTGCAACGCTCTCCAAGCCAATCTCCACAACTTCAGCTCACTGTGCAATTATGTGCTGACAGTGAGATGCGCTGAGCAGTGTCCAGCTCAGATGTTCAGATGGGAATCTTTTCTTGGGTGATTTAGCAACATCTGCGATGTGCGTAACGAATAAAATGTCAGTTTGTCTGCATGCATCGGGGTAATTCTTTCTATTCTTTCTCCGTCAAAATAAACGGTCAAATACGGGAACTGTCCAACACAAGCCCTGCTTTTGACTGTTTTGTTTTCTTGTGAAAATTGTTGGAAAGAGATCAAATTTAACTTGCTTACCACCAGAACCAGTGCGCCGTCTTCTCCGTGATGGTTAATGAGGGAAAAACAAATTGATCGGATCATGCACGTCTTTTAACACATTGGTCAGGATTGACGCACTTAGTTTTCATTTAGTTGGTTAAAAAAAAGTCGGGCTCAGGCTCGGGTCAGGCCAGAGAATCCTGAAAACCTTTTCGGGCTGGGTCGGGCTGGGGCTCCACCCCCTCGGGGCGGGCCGGACATGGGTTCAGATTTTATGCCCGTGCAGGTCTCTAGGCCTGGGGGCTCGGGTGTTGGGGTGGCTGGCCCTGTGTGGGGATCTGGGCGGGGCCTTGGGGGTCGGGTCCTGACATGTATGCTGCCGGGAAGAAGGCAGGAACATGCAGCAGCGCCTGACCCGGGTTCAGGGGCCTCGGGTAGACCTTGGCTCCTCTGCTGTACCATCACATGGGAGGGGGAGGTCCAGGAGGGGGAGGACCCAACCTTACCTGGATGTCCTATGTCTTATATATTCTGGAAGTTGTGCAAATGCAGCGATGGGCATAGATATTCTGCTGGGGTGGGGCTGGGTTGGTGCCCTCAGACTCCGTGAGGCTCTGTAATGCTGTAGCTTTGGGCCCTGGCAGGATGGGCTGGGGTCTCCATGCCCTGGGTGGCAATTTGACAACCCAGGGCATGTCTCCTTTTGTCCTGTCCTGTGCCTATTGGGGCCAGTGGGGGAGCTGGCACCCTGGAGGGCTAAACCCAACCAGCCATTCCTCCCCATCCCCGCATATTTCTCTCCTCCTATGACCTTGGGGGGTGGACAAGTCAGGGAGTGCGGGTATGGACCCCATTTCTGCATTCCTGTGGCAACCCGCCCCCCAATTTTATTTGCACCTTAGACATTTCCATCAACGACATTCCACGCAAACAAACACTTGGGAGCTTGGGAGTGAGCACATTCAACGGCACTTAGCAGGGGGATTTCTCAGTCTACTCCCGAGTGCCGGTGCCCACTTCCAATTTTAAACTGCACGTATGTTTATGTTTATGTTTATGTATTTAGCAGACGCTTTTGTCCAAAGCGACTTACGAGTTACTTAGACACCAAGGGCTGTGGGTGCAAGTGGGGTGGTGTGGTGGCATCAGCTGGCATAGGCCAGACAATGCCCGCACTGCCCGCTCACCACAGCCATGGAATACACCTCATTAACACAAAACACTATATTGGAGCAGGTGGAGGGAGACTAGAGCCCCCTTCAGACAGGCCATGAAAAACGGAAATGTTCCGGAATCTGTCCGTAAGACCTTTCTGTCTGAATACAAATATCCGGATAACGTGTTCCGGAATTTATCCGGACGAAGCCCCTAGTAACAGGTCCGGACTTGTTACGGACAGGGTGGCTGCTTCAGACTGGTGAGGTAAAGTTCCGGACAAGAGGGAGGGGGAGGAGGAGGGGACCGGGGGACGCTGTGCGCACCTATATAGCCCGCTGCTGTAGCATGCGGCGAACCACGGCAGCTCGCCTCCTACGGTACCGTCTAGACGCGCGACGGAGCGCTTCACACCGCTTCAGTGATTCCTTTAACCATTGAGCTTCATCATCCAGGTCTCTTATGCGTCTTCGTGTGCGCAGAATTATGCTTAAGCGCCTCGTGATTTTTATCTTGAGAGGCGCTATAGAAATGATATTTTCTTCTTCTTCTTCTTAACATAAGTCCAAACCCCCACCCACCCCCCACCCCCCACCCCCCGCCGCCGTCAGACATCTGGAACTTTTCCCTGCTGTGTGAACGCAGCCGAAAGGACAAGTTCCGGTACAAAAGTGGTGTGTCTGAAAACACAGTTCCGGTTAAAAACCGGATTGAATTGTCCGCAAATGTTCCAGAATGTCTGTCTGAAAAGGGCTTAGGGGTCTTAGCACACCTCTGATGTTGCTTGGCTTCCTGGGACTGGAGGCTAGGAGGGAGATCTGGCCGTCTGGTTTGGGGTCTGGGGTGGGGGGTTGCTGTGCTCAGCGTTGGGCGGGGAGCCTGCTCATCTGCACCCCAGCAGAAAGGGTCAAACTCTGGTAACCAGTGATGGTTGTACCCCATGTGCAGCAGTACCGGGACCAGAGTGAATAGGGTGTGTATGGGGAGCATGAGTGGGTGTCTGGCGTGCATTTTTGTAAGTCTTTGGTTGTATGTGCATATGTGAGCATGAGGGAGGGAGTGTGTGACTGTGTTTGTGTATGACTGTATATGTCAGGTGGGGCCTTTGACTCCTCCCCTCTCCTGGGACTTCTCTTGATGATATAGATCTTCGTCTCCCCTCCCCCTGCCACACCTGTTGTGGGGTGTGGTGCCTTGGTCTGCCTGAGTGTTCGTGGCTCCCGGGTCAGGGAGTTTAACATTTTTGGCATCTGCTTGATCAATCCCGGTGGCAGCCTGGTGGGGTCTGGGTCCCTGGGCTCTGCTGGGCCCCCGGCGGGGGTGGCCACCCCTGGGTCCCGGGTCGCTGGGTCGCGGGCTCGGCCGGCTAGGGGGGGGGAGGCTGCCGGCGGGCCTGTGGAATTGCCACTGATGTCTCCCTGGACTCTGCCCGCTGCTGGTTGTGGCCCCTGGGGGCGATCCTCTGTGCCTCTCCAGGGGGGCGGGGCCTTTCTGGTTGCAGTCTCCTTGGGGTTCCTGTGTACTGGGGCAGTGCCTGGATCTCTGGACTTGGAGCCCCCCCCCGTCTCCTACGCATCTTTGGGGGGCAGATCTGTGGTCCCTCACACTCTATTGGACGCTCCTATAGAGAAACCTTACATAAACAAGCGCGTGTACACACACAGGTGCTCACATGGTGCTCTCAAAGTATGGACTTGGGCACGTTCAACACAGGTCTTAAGGCTATGGTGGGCACTTAATGCACTGTGATTTATTATTTTGTGACTGTTCGGTTAAACAATATTGATTATATATTTCTTCATCAAGTTGACGCAGTGATAGCTTGATCTTGTATTGTTGTTGTGTCCTTTATTTATTTATTTTTTTGCTTTTTTTCTTGTCTCTTTCTGCAGGTCTAGAAGCAGACTCTTGTTCATTATTGTTTATTTTTGTGGAAACCCCCCACCCCCTTCCCCCTCTCTCCCCACCTTTTGTCTTTTCCTTTCTCTTTCACCTGTGACTCCGTGTCTGATCGGAATTACAAAGCATTCAAAAACAATAACAATAAAGTTTTAAGTATCAGGCGTGACATTAAAAGCAGACATTTTGATGCTCCACCTGAGAGTAAATCTGCAAGGCTTGTTACCAGCATTCATACATCACCTCTGTTTGCTTCACAGCCAGACAGGACACGGTAAAATAAATAAATAAATAAACAAGCTTTTCCCTACAGTGTGCATCTATCACTGTGCAAATACATTTATTGCTATTGTTTATCCAAGCAAGTCAAGATTTAGTTTCCAGTGGCTTGTTGTATTTGCTGCCATCATCCTTTCATGTCATGTTATGAGGTAAGTGTCTAACCCACGACAAACAGAATCACTTCACAGACAAGGGTGAGAGTTCAAACAATAATTTATTAAGGGAGAAACTAAAGGAGCAGCATAAAAGTAGCTGAGTTCTTCCGACAGAGATCAGGTGCAGGAATCTGCAGACAAAGGGAGTTTAGGTCCAGCTCGAAAAAACAACAGAAGGTTTTGTGGGTTTAGAGGACTTACAGTCTTGAGACGTAAAGACTCGAGAGAGGGAAGGTGGTGAAGTCTGGGTTGAAGAAGCTTACTGGGAGTAGGTATTCCAGGTTGGAGGCTGAGGGAGCTGAGCATGGATATAGTGCAGATCCAGGTGGGTCTTGGTGGGCTGCTGGAGGTGGATTGGCCAGGGATGGGCTGAGAGACGAGCGGCAAATAGAGGTATTCCAGAGTTCAGCCGGTCAGAGATGAGAGTGGAGGGTTGTCTGGAAAAATGGTAAAGGGTGATCAAGCATGCAAAACTCAATTCAGTTCAATTCAATTCAGTTGTATTTATATAGTGCCAAATCACGACAAGAGTCATCTCAAGGCACTTCACATAATAAACATTCCAATATAGGTCACTTCATTAAGCCAGAAATAATGTTTCCTATATAGGGAACCCAGCAAATTGCATCAAGCCACTGACTAGTGTCAGTGACTTTACAGCAATCCTCATACTAAGCAAGCATTTAGCGACAGTGGAGAGGAAAACTCCCTTTTAACAGAAAGAAATCTCCAGAGGATCCTGGCTCAGTATAAGCAGCCATCCTTCACGACTCACCAGGGATCGAGAGGACAGAGTTCACACACACACACACACACACACACACACACACACACACACACACACACACACACACACACACACACACACACACACACACCAAGCAATGTGTCTATGGTTACATTGTGATTTCTTAGGAAATATTCTATTTGGCGAGAGATAAACTTTATTGTATTTATCCTAGTGAATCTATAATTAAACGGGTAAACTAGCAGTAGCACATCCAACTTCAAGGAAAGCATAAAGTTATTATCAGGAGAGGGAGAATATTTAAGTGGTTAGCAGCAGTGTGCTAAATGACGGCTCCCTCCATGAGGCCACCACAGCTCAGCAGAACATCATTGTAGGTTCTTCTGGGGAGAAAACCCCTTAGAGAAAAAATGAAGTTAACAGCTAAAATTGCAGAAAAAATACAGTTAAAGAGCAGATCGTAGAAAAAGGAGTGGTGTGTGAAAAGTGGTCAGTATATCCTCCAGCAGTCTAAGCCTATAGCAGCATAACTACAGAGATAACTCTGGATAACCTAGCCTTTTTAGATGGAGGCATGTTGGAGGCAGGGCCAGGGAGAGCCGTCTTTACCAACTGTACACTCCACCTTCCTCTCCTCCCCCACTTGTCCAGATCTAGGTCAACATCAGATTTTAACCATAGGCCCTAACAAATAAAAATATTTTAAGCCTAGTCTTAAAAGTAGACAAGGTGTCTGCCTCACGGACTAAAGGTGGGAGCTGGTTCCACAGGAAAGGAGCCTGATAACTAAAAGATCTGCCTCCCATCCTAATTTTAGATATTCTGGGAACCACCAGTAAACCTGCAGTCTGATAGCAAAGTGTTCTGTTAGGAACATATGGAACAATTAGATCACTGATGTATGATGGAGCTTGATTATTAAGAGATTTATATGTGAAAAGGAGGATCTTAAAATCTATTCTGAATTGAACAGGTAGCCAGTGTAGGGAAGCTAAGACAGGAGAGATATGATCCCTCTTTTTAATTCTCATCAGAACTCTAGCTGCAGCATTTTGGACAAGCTGAAGACTTTGAACTACATTCTGTGGACTTCCTGAGAGTAATGAATTATAGTAATCCAGTCTTGATGTAAGAAATGCATTAACTAGGTTTTCAGCATCACTCCTGGAAAGGATGCTTCTAATCTTAGCAATATTCCGAAGGTGGAAAAAGAAAATCCTACAAACCTGTTTAACTTGGGATTTGAATGACATGTCCTGGTTGAAGATAACACCAAGGTTCCTTACTTTGTTCTCAGAGATTAATGTAATGTCATTCAGGTCAGGTGATTGACTAAGCAATTTCCTTTTCTGGATTTCTGGTCCAAAGATGAGAACTTATGTCTTGTCTTGATTTAAAAGCAAAAAGTTTAGAGTCATCCAATTTTTTATGTCCTCAAGACAAGCCTGTAATCTACCTAAACGATTAGGTTCATCAGGGTTAATGGATAAATATAACTGAGTATCGTCAGCATAACAGTGGAAGTTTACCCCATGCTGTCTAATGATTTTACCAATTGGGAGCATATATATAGTAAAAAGAAGTGTTCGAAGCACTGAATCCTGTGGTCTCCACAAGTGACTCTGGAGTATGAAGATTTGTCATGTACATTTACAAAATGAAATCTATCAGACAGATAGGATTTAAACCAGCCTAGCGCTGTTCCTTTGATCCCTAAAACATGTTCAAGTCTTTCTAAAAGAACATTGTGATCAACTGTGTCAAAGGCAGCACTGAGATCTAACAAGACTAGAACAGACACAAGATTCTTATCTGAGGCCATGAGAATATCATTTGTAACTTTCACAAATGCAGTTTCAGTGCTGTGATGCTCTCTAAAACCAGACTGAAATTCCTCAAACAGAGCATTAGTGTTTCAATGCTCACATTCTAGGATGGCCACTATTTTCTCCAGGACTTTGGCTAAAAATGGAAGGTTAGATATTGGTCTATAATTCATTGGGTCATCTGGATCCAGAGATGGCTTCTTAAGTGAAGGTTTGATTACAGCAACCTTAAAATCCTGTGGTACATATCCATTTACTAAGGACAGATTGATTATATCTAGAATGGGGGCAGTAACCAAAGGAAATGCATCTTTAAATAATTTGGTTGGGATTGGATCCAAAATGCAAGTTGAAGGTTTAGATGAAGCTAATATTTTTGATAAATCTGAAAGCTCAACTGGATCAAAACGGTTCAAGCACAGATGAGGTTCTACAGTCACCTCTGATGCTGCCTCACTTAATGAGGAAGAAGAAATCGCATTAGGGAGGATGCTAAGGATTTTGTTTCTAATAGAATTAATTTTACTTGTAAAAAATCCCATAAAGTCATTGCTGCTGAGGGCTAAGGGAATAGATGGTTCAGAGCTATGATTCTGTGTAAGTTTGGCAATTGTACTGAAAAGAAATTTAGGATTATTCTTATTCTCCTCAATTAACGCTGAGAAATAAGCTGTTCTAGCTTGTCGAAGCTTATTTTTTATAAAGCACAAGACTATTTTTCCAGGATAAGTAGGACTCCTCCTGGTGCCTAGAGCGCCATGTTCTCTCCAATTTTCCAGAGTTTTGTTTTAAAGCTCGTAAATGAGAATTAAACCAGGGAGCCAACTTCCTGTCCCTAATTACCTTCTTTCTTAAAGGGGCAACGTCATCTAATGCCACACGTAAAGAGGAAGTAACATTATGAACTAAGGCATCAATTTGTGAGGGGCTATAAATGAAAATATTGCCCTCTGCTAAGTTCATCTGAGATGCTGAAGACAGTAAAGATGGAACAGTTGATTTAAAAGATGCAACAGCATTGTTAGATAGAGACCGACAATAGTGAAATTTACTTTCATGTCTCGAAAACTTAGTTATAATAGAACTCAATTATCAGAAAGTGGTCCGAGAGGACTGGATTATGTGGAAAGATCATTATTTCCTCAAACTGTATACCATAAGTCAGCACAAGTTCGAATGTATGATGGCAGGAGTGGGTGGAGCTATGTATTCTTTGGGTAAAACCAATTGAGTTTAATACATTACTAAAGGCTACATCAAGGCTATCATTTTCAATGTCCACATGAATGTTAAAATCCCCCACTACAATTATCTTATCAGTATTTAGCACCAAATCAGATAAAATAATCAGAGATCTGATCCAAAAACTCAGAGTAAGGGCCTGGTGGACGATATAAAACTACAACAAGAGTGGTTTTACAGTTTTGCAATCTGGATTAGGAAAACTAAGAATAAGATTTTCAAACAAACTGTAGCTATTAATTGGTAAGGGATTGATTAATAAATCCGAATGAAACATGGTTGCTATTCCTCCTCCTCGCCCTGTACTTCGAGCAACATGATGATTTAAATAATTAGAAGGAGTCGACTCGTTTAAACTAACATAGTCCTCTTGCTGCAGCCAGGATTCTGTGAGAGAGAGCAAAGAAATCTGATGATCACAAATTAAGTCATTAAATAACAAAGTCGTAGAAAAAATAGACCTAATGTTCAATAACCCACATTTAAGTTTTCTAATTGTCTGCTCAGTTGAATTTGTTCTAATATTTATGAGATTTACATGATTTGCTTTATTAAGCCTGATATTTAATCTGTGTGATTTTGGCCGTGGGCAGGACACTGTCTCTATGGGGTAGTGGGTGGGTAACAGTACAGAAGCTGCAGAAGGATGTGTAAAACTACGACTCCAAAAACCAAACTCAAACAAATGCTCAAAGACTTAAAATACTTGAATGCATACATTCTCAAGGTGGTTGCTAGGCAGCACCCAGGTAGAGTAATCATCCAGCGAAGTGATAGTGTCTCTCAGCTGCTTAAATACCTCCTGGCCGGCTGATGAGCTGATGATCTGCAGCTTGGCCACCTCCAGACACACCCACCTGGAGAAGGAAACTCAAAAACCACTTAGAGAATGGCAGGAGAAAACCCAGACCGTGACATTTAATTAGAAAAAGCAAACTCTATAAAGTCCAGGACAGCCAATAAACACTGGGAGGAAATGTCACACACACCAAATAAAACTTCCCATGAGTCATCGTGTTTGAAATGGCAGCAATAAAAGTGAGAAAGTACTGTAACATTCATAGTTATTAACCTACTTTATCCAGAGAATTAGCTCTGTTGAAAGTCATTTTCTGACTATAATTATCTCTGTGTGTGTGTGTGTGTGTGTGTGTGTGTGTGTGTGTGTGTGTGTGTGTGTGTGTGTGTGTGTGTGTGTGTGTGTGTGTGTGTGTGTGTGTGTGTTAGTGTGCGTGCTTGCGTGTGTGTGTGTGTAAACTTTCAGATTAAAAGCGTAAATTTGAAGATGTATTCAAGATTGGAAGGTGAACTCTGATCTTTAAATTTAGGGCAGCAGTATAGCTCAGGAGGAAGAGTGGGTAGTCCAATAATCGGAGGGTTGTAAGTTCAATCCTGGCTCCCAGCAGAATGCTGCCTTTGTGTCCTTGGGCAAGACACCTGACCCACCTTACCTGCTCAGCAGCCTCGCCTCTGTCAGTGCGTCCCAGGGCAGCTGTGGCTATGATGGAGCTCATCACTACCAGTGTGTGAAAGTGTGTGTGCATGGGTGGGTGACTGAATGTGCTGTGAAGCGCCTTGGGCGGTTCTGGGACTCCAGAGATTTGAGATTATAGTTCATTCTCTGTACTTATCTCAGCAGTCATTTCAGAGCAGCACACAAACTAAAATGAATAAAGTCTATCTTTAATTTGATGTTAGAAAAATAAGACAAAGACAAGATAATAAATTAATGATACTCAGATTTTGTCTCTGGGATCTTCATCAACACGTGTTGTGCTCCTTGTTTTTCCTAAAAGTAGTATCTATTTGGAGTGGTGGATCTTTCTCAGCTGAAGCATTTGAGTGTGCAGAACCCAGTTTAG